GTCGTCTAGGAAGAAGATCAATTGTACAATATATCAATTTCTTCCTCTGGAGCCTGGCATTAAAATGTTGTATGACGTGTTGACGAATACCGGTTCCCCTCAGAGAAGGCCAAAAAAAGGTTCAATAGGCCTACAAGTATAAATATCAGGCAACTAAATGCTAATATTAGATTGACTACAAGCTGTTGTCACTAAATATGCATAGTAATTAGATGTTAAAAGATACTTAAAAGATTGTTAATTAATTCAGGAGCATTTTGATTTGTTTAATTGATTTTATGCATATCATTACATTAATATTGCCTTTTGAAAATGAAATAACCCACCAATATGGAGCAATATTATGTATTTATTTAGAATACTTACTATTATTTACAATAAATGATACGGTACTTAACAGGTTATGAATATTATATCCTCAAACTTTTACTTAAGAAATAATGTTAAGAATCACAAATAGATACACAAGTAAAAATCGTACAAATTGTGTTAACCCTTCGTCACACCGCGTCTTAGGATTTGAGTCATACGCCTTTTTTGTGCTACACACAAACAAATATACATAAACACACATCTCCACATGCACGCACACACATATCATATGTTAAGTCAACAATATATATTTATATTATGTATATATATTTACATTTACAAGTAATATTATGTCCCTTTAATCATTGAAAAAACAACATTCTTCAGAACTTTTCACGGAAATTGTATTTGAAACCGGCAAAATGGTGACACACACCCCTAGGCCTATATATATATATATAACAACGTATATTGCAGAGTTTATAAAGGCTTTGTATGACGCATCAGTGACGTATTGTTATTCATTCGCTCACTCCGAAGTTGATCATAATATCTGTGCTAGGCTTCATTTCAGTGTACGTATCTACATCTACAATCGCAGCTTCAGGTGCTTCAGAAAAGTATTTTCTGACCTCCTGATGGTATAATTCGTCAAATTTCTTCGATAACTCAGTAAATGATGGTCTCTCCTTGGGTTCCATCTGCCAACACGAGCTCATGACGTCATACCTAAAAATATATATATTTCTTTTCCACATTAATTTTCCAAAATAAAATTATTCGTAATATTATGTTATTATGTGTCTTTGTACCGTATATAGTACCGGTATTATATACAATCTTACGTTTCTTGGCTGCAATATTTTGGCTTCTCTAGTCGTTTATCTTCACCGAGAAAATCTATTAATGATTTGCCATCAGCATCTGCGTAAGGTATATCTCCTGAAAAATGGAACAAAAAAATTGACGTTATTGCAGACATACCAACACAATGCATAATGAAAATGGTTATCAAGCCAGCACCGACGGTTAGGCCTACATAAGTTATAACCACTATCAGGATTTCTGGATTGACTAGCATTAAGTCTTTTCATATATATATAATATCAATATTGTGTTAAATATGCTTTACACAACTCTTGATTTTATAATAGGCCCTAATTCACAATAAACTGAATTATCAGCACATAATACCGTTGGAAATATACTTACCATAACTTGTTATTTCCCACACAAGAACACCGTACGACCACCTAAAATATGTATAACAACAGAAAAAAAATAATCATCAATATTAGCAATAATAAAATATTAATAATAATAACAGTTTTCAATACCTTCAAAAACTTACAAAAAGCAGCTTTTATTCAAAATAATATACAGTACAGTA